CCCGTGGCCAATTCTTGTTGAGATAATTATGAATGAGAGTGCTCAATCGTGTAAGTCTGCTTTGGCTGATGAACATAATCTACATGCTGTACAAGTGTGAGAGTTCCAATTCTGATGATGCCCATCTCACTATGGACGAAAGCATAGCCCATTACGCCCGAAACGAGGAAGAATGTCTCGTGATCTGTGTCAGCCTGAACGCCGTATTAAATCCAAACGGCGACAGTATAACAGGAATCCTTCGTCATCTGGTGAAATCGACCTACGAATCTCTTTATAATGAACTTTCCTACGAAATGGCAGTCTCCTCTACAGCGTTGTCTCAAGTGATTCATCGAAACCCAATTATTTTTCGTATATTCAACGTACATATTGTTCTTATAACTACATCTTAGTCAACAAAACTATCGCCAGGCTAGCTAATATAATTAGCTTTCTAATATTTGCCTTTCTCATAATGTTGTTCCTAGACTTTGTTTTCTCGGTAGACGTTTTGATATGAAGAGGTTCATTAATAGGGAACTGGATCAGGCATGGTGTGGCTTTATTAAAGGACAGATTAAGCGTTAAGAGGCAATACGAAATAGATACGAAGAGTAACTGGGTTTCGATATTCATGTAATTGGAAGTGTGATAGTACTAGCTAGACTCAAAGCTAATCCAGCCTCCTCTTTTTCAGTGGTTCTTCCTGCACCCCCTCTTTCTCTCTCTACTTGAGTCCATCCAATAGCCACAAATAGTCAAAAAATAGTTAATTTTCTAAAATCGTTTCTCCAACTCATGACTTTGGCTGTTTTGTTAATTTTTATAGACTCCCTAATCTTATGCCTCGATCTGAAGTCCCCATAACCCGCAAAACGTTGTGTTTTTGGACCAGTCCTGTAATGGCCATGCGTTCAGCGAGCTCAGAATTTTGGACCTATACAACTTTACAAGCGGCTTTGTGCTTGTATAGTCTTTTTCTGGAGAAACGATTGTAGAAGAATGACTAGGAACTATTTGTAACTGTCGGATTGGTTTAAGCATAGTGGAAGAGAGAGAGAGAGCAAGAACTACTGAACAAAAGGAGGCTTGATTATCCTAAGACTATGACATTACATACACACAATATACAATAGCACAAGCCCAAACATAATTCATTATTGGAAGATTGTACACTAATTTATTTGTGTAATGAAAAAGCTGCCATCGAACGCACCTCCGGTTCGGGAAGTAACTTCAATCATTTGTAAGCATGTCGAGTAAGGTTGGACTAACCAACCAAATCATGGGATGCCTCATTAAGATCGCGAACTATGGTTGCAGCCGGCCACCTTTTCTCTTGGTTTGGTATATTTTTTCTCTCTTTCGTTAAGTATGCATTATTGTTCTGATGATGTCTGTCACAGTACAGACGAAGGCTTAGCACACCCTCATCGGGGTTGCAGGACAGTGAGCCGAGAACCTATTTGCACAATCCAACAGACTTATTTACATGACAATCCTCCTTCGGATTTCGGTGAAACCACATCACGATTTCCTTCAACCAACCTTGCCCTCGAAATGGAAATTCGTGTCAAAATATATCAATAAGGAATTTTTCAAAACAGTTTTAATTTGTTTTCATATGTACATATATATTATTGTTCAAGAGCCATTCAGGCTCTAGCGCAGACTCTGGAGAAACATCCCAACATTACACATATAATTAGAATAAATATAGCCTCTATACCCACCTTATTATGTTACCTCTGACGGTAAGTTCTATCACCAGACACAAGGACCTGCTATGGGATTATGCTTAGACCTCATCATGGCGAACAATTACATGCAAAACTTAAGGAACACTTATTGGAAGAGGCAATACTAACCCCAAAATTGTGGGTTAGATACACGGATGTCTATATCGTCATGTGGCACCATGAAAAGGAAAGCTTTGATCATCTCCTGGCTTCAATTAATTAACGGGAACGGAATATTTGGCTTACCGTGGAAATAGACAAGATTGAGTCCTTACCTTTGGACGCTATGATTATTAGAGAAGAGGGTAGGTTAGAACGAGGCGTTTATAGAAAGCCAACATATTTTGGCCCATTTCTGAATTTTCTTCTTCACGATAGTTACAAAAGTAATGTTGAAATTTTGAAGTCAATGATAAGTAGGAGAATGAGACTAGCGGATAGTAACAATTTAACGATAGACTTGGAACAGCTGAAAGATTTATTCCTGGAGAATATTTATCTTTTTGCTTTATTGATAATAATAATTCTTTACTGAGGAACACATTTTCGGACGGAAATCATTTAGTCAAAGATAGACAAGCTAAGACTTCTTCTTATTTCTTAATTTTGCCGACATGCATTCTTTCTAAGAATGCAGGCTAACTAGTGAGAAACTGGGGGACAAAAACAGTTTTTAAAGAGATTTTAATACTTGCTTTAGTTATGCTATCTTTTAGAATGAGTTACGATCCATTACCGAGATCCGGCCGCCACCAGATTCTGCTCTTGCGGTCGATCTTATGCTGATGATATATGTTGTCCTATTCGACAAGGATTACAGCAACACAATATGCTTTTTGAAGCGGCCGAACACATGACAAAGACTGGAGATGAGATAAATTAGTCTAGAACGTGTAGATTTGCCGATTATGGTACGTCTGCTATTAAATTGAAGGTAAGAAAGGCTACTGAAATTAAAAGATTACGACATACATTAAATGTGAGAAAGGTGATGTGATACTGAATAGGAACTACTTTTGCTTGATTGACAGCTTGATGTAAAGAGGGGATGTGGAGTCGTCATACAAAATATGGCGACCGAACTTTCCAGCCTTAAATTGGTTCTAACCCCATTCCCATTCCTTTAATATGTAGATTAAGCTCATAAACCATACCAAATGTTGCAGATAACGCAACTACAGTCATGTATTTCCTTCGGTAATTAAATATTAATGACTCTAGAATGACGTTCTATACACTTTTATACGAAATGAAAGTCCCTTCGACAATTCCAAATTTATCCGTAAGTCTTTAATAAAAATAATTGTCTACCTTTTCGCGATAAGTAGCAAACGATCTTTCTATGATCAGATTGTGACTATTATAATGATATCCAGTCGCAATGAACGAATGTATAACTCTCTACATCACATGTGTTCATGCAGAACTTAGTCAATTGGGGCAGAAATGACAGACCCTTTTGTAAGCCAAATAGTTTACAATAATATAGCTAATTTGGAATTTCGCCTATCTCTAGGAGCACTCCAATATCCTAAACTAATCTTCACTTGGATGGGCAATAGGAAAGCATGGCATGTCTGGGAGAATATTTAAATATATTGGATTTAAAAACGGTGTCACAACGCAATTTATATAAAGGAGAGAGCGTATGGAATATATTAATCACCGGAACCAGGGGATGTGGATACTAACTAAACTTTCATTTTATGGCAACACTCCACTGGGCATATTTAGCAAATATTTCTTAATAATATGAAATAGGATGAGGGGAAATGGGGGGATGCACAATTTCACTCATTCTCAGGTTTAGACATGAAACAAAGATAGCTTTAGAAAAGGCTAGGGACGCTACAGGATACTGGGTGATTAGAACTAGGACTTAAGCCTCCACTTATGCCTACGCTTAGGAAATAAATTGAGACTGAAGAACAGTCAATATTCTAAACCGAAGAAATTAGTGTAGGCAATTTAACGAGTTTATCTTCGTAACATTGAAGAAATAAAACTGCTTATTGCATGAATAGTCTTGGTCTTCTTTCAGATCTTCTGACCCATGAACTTGCATACATAAAACGCACGTATGCTTAGACAATGGAATGGCCAGTTACGTTGGCGGATAACACAGAAGATGATTGTGGAAATGGAGACGAGGCTCGGCCACATCTGAATCTCCTTCAAGCGTCAACGTAACTTATTTAAAAACGTGCAAGGTTTAGCAACAACCAATCTACCAAATCAAAGAATACCTCCTTGCGTTTACAAGATTCGGTTATATTTAGTGATGCTGACCAGGAACTCACCACTTATCACCAGTCACACAGGCATAGCAATTATCTTCGGTTTATTTAAGGAGAAATTAAGATCCTACGAAGTGAAAGATTAATAATATTAAATTTTAAAGTGGACCGAAACTTTAACATAACTTCATTATACGCCCATTGAATGTTACATTTAATCGACCTCATAATTAAGTTTTTCAAGCATATTGGTGAAT